ATATTGGACGGTGGTCTATCGCAAGATTTGCCATGTAATTCCGCGGCCCCAGACGAACCTAAAGTTCGTGTCACTAAAAAATCTGTCAACAGCTCGAAAGCAAAGGCTAATTACGACCTGTCATCGCCGCAATCGTTTGATAGCTGGATAGACAATCTAATTGAGTTTGAGGAAACAGCGTTACCGACCAAGGCGTCGGAAATGTCAATCGCGGAAGCTTTGTACAAATTAGAAGCATATGCAAAAACATTCCTAGTATTAAACTAATAGAGTACGATGGTAATCGCTTGACGTATGTCGAGTTTATTGAGCGTTTCAAGTTACATATTCATAACAAACCGCATCTTTCCGATGACGTAAGAATGGTTCAATTAAAAATGCATTTAGCTGGCAACGCAAAGCGCGCAGTGGGCGGTCTTGGCTCGCAGGGGAAAATGTATGCAACCGCGCTAAAAACTCTTAAAGAACAGTTTGGCCAACCCAGTGTCATCGCTAGAGCGTATATCAACAAATTAGTCGACGCGAGTGAAATTCAAAACAATGATAGACAGGCTTTACAACAATTGTCTTTCGATTTTGCAAATTGCGTAGCAACGCTGAAACAAATTAACCATGTCGCGGACGTCAATGCCACCGATAACCTCAGAAATATCATAAAACGACTTCCGGATCACATGATAGATCAATGGAAAGCTGTAGCCTCAGACCTTAGAGAAAAGGGAGAGACCCCGTAGCCTCGTTAGAACATATCAGCAAATTCCTGAAGAAACGTGTTAAGGCCGAGTTTGATCCAGATTTTGGCGATATACCAAAATCAGGGTCCCAACGCCCCTGAGAGAGGAATTCATTCGAACCAGAAAGAGAAGAAACCCTCCAATATTATGTATGCTCTGAAAATCATCATGTGCTAGATTGCCCAACCTTTGCGAGTTGTTCCAGTGATGAAATAATTCAGCATGCAATAAATTCAACATGGCGGTTGGTCATGTTTCGGCGAGCTCCTTAGATAATCTCAATTTTCTTGTAAAGTGTGTGGATACGAATACGATAAAATCATTTAAGGATAAAGCTCACCTGATATATGAAGGAAATCGAATAAAGTGGACGCTGGACCTTGATTCACTCAAGTATTTTATCGAAAATATCGTTGGCCTTAACGGTAGGTGGAAATCACCTGGCGGTAAATCTAAGCAGTTTAACAGTACAAACGCCGATTTAAGTATAACTTGGCACCCCGGGAAACAAAATTCACTGTTATTTCAAGGAAAAGATGTCATAGTACTTAAGGATTTTGTAGTAAAAATGTTAGAAGAACCAAACATTGACAGTCCTAATTCGAATGCAAAGTTTTCGACTCAAACGGCTCATCCAGTTGCCGAACCTTGTGAAAAGCTGTGTGAAATCGTTGCAGATACTAAGGCTGCAATTGAGCCAGAGCTATATGTATCTAGTCATCATACCTGTGATTGTAACCCATGTGGAAATGACATTAAAAACGTCAAGCTAGACATTGAAGATTTGCAGAAACAAATTAGTTCTATTAACAATGTTATTGATTCTACAAATGGCATTATAAAGTCAATCAGTGAAATTTTGCTTCCCGGCGATGGCGGTGTCTTACTCATGATCGCAGAACTGAGGCTACGGTAAATGAGCTGTTTAAAATCATTGATGAGAAGAATAAAGTAATTATGGATCGTAATAATACTATTAGGGAACTTAGAACTAAATTATTAGAGGCCGAAAGTGAGAGAGACTCACTAAAACAACAAAAATACTCATTAGATACGCAAGATACGTCCCAATGTAATGACACAATAGAAAACCAACGACGCCTGTCGTCAAAAACAATACCTATTGATGAGACTACGGGTACAAGGCACGAGAATAACACTGATATTAGTCTGAATAATGGTAAATCTCATGTCTCTGCCTCTAACTCGGCTTTGCAAAATATCCCAGTGCCTGCTATAACAACTCTGAAGGCACTCACGACCATGTCTCTTGCGTTATCAAAAAATAATCCAGAAAATTGGTTAGGAAAGCAGCCTCTCTTAGAGGGAAAGCACAAGACATCTTGTACTCTCAAGTCTGCTAAGCAAAATATTTCACAAACATCTACCATGAAGACAACAGATGCTAGAATGACGGCGAACGCCATCAAGACCCCAATACAACCTACGTCAAAAAATACTAAGCATAAATGTCTCCCAGTAGATTGGATGGAGAGGTTACCTCTCATAGAAGGAAAACCTAAATTGCAACCAGTTCAGCGGCCAAATAATATCAGCTGCCCGGAATCGTATAAGAATGATAATTATTTTTTAAAGCTCAATTGGAAAAAACGGACAAGTTTAACACGCAGTCGCTGTCACAAGCAGGACTGGATCAATCACCTGAAGCTTGTCCATCGCACTATGAAACGATAAAAATGCCGATTCCGACAAGAATTACTCATCGACAACAACTATTTTCTAAAACCGCGAGCACCACTCCCCACATTAATACGCTTTATTCTGATAGAAGAAGGTCCCATGAGCCTACGAACTGTATCAAGATATCTACCGATATAAAAACGAATAAACAGACTGTTCCTTCATTATTTTAACTAATGCTTGCCACATTCTGAATAAAATGGATGAGCTCAGCTCAGTTGCGGAAATTAATGATTCTGACCTTATATTAGCCTGCGGAGCAGGCGCTATTTAGGGAGGAGTGCGATATGTATTTCTGAGACCTGGCTAGATCCCAGCATATACGATGGAGTTATATCTATTGGATCTAACTATACTCCGTACCGAAAAGATAGAGGAACACCTGGCGGCGGTTTAATTACTTATGTTAAAACTGCAATACCTTCTAGCCGCTTGTTTGACATGGAAGAGGAAGGCAAGGAGGCTCTGGGGCTATTGTTGAAACCACAAAGACTTCCAAGGCCTTTCAGTTGCATTGTTATGGTTGCAGTCTATTATCCCCCAGGTCAAGCGGCTATAAATGAGATAACTATGATTAATTTATCTTACTAATGGAATCGACTTTATTCTACAAAGCTATCCCTATGCTTGAATTATAATCGCTGGAGACTTTAACAAAATGAAATTAGGAACATTATGTAATTGTTTTGATTTGAGGAAAATTGTTAAGAAACTAACTCGCCAGAACAATACTTTAGATCAGATAATGACTAATATGTCGCCACTGTTTCAAGAAGTGCAACATCTTCCTCCCTTAGGTCGATCGGATCACCGATGCCTCCTTTTGAATCCAAAACATCGGAAGAGTACACGCCCAATAACTAAAACAGTTCGATCGATGAAACGTTCAAACTTAATAGCTCTCGAGCTAAGACTAAGCAGAACTGTCTGCGATGCAGTATACGAAGCAGAAGACGTAGATGACAAAGTCTCAATTTTTAAGGTCAAGCTCTAGACGGATGTATGCCTCTGAAATCCATACGCCTACATCCCACGGATAAACCTTGGATGACTCCGAACATTAAAGCAAATATTAAGCTTAGACAACGGGCTTTTACTCGTGGCAATATGTCCCAGTATAATCTGCTAAGTGCATAAGTAGAAGATATGATTAGGAAAGCCAAATCAAATTACTATCAAAATAAAGCTAAAACATTTCGCACGTCTGACCCTGCGAAATGGTACAAAACAATTTATAATCTGTCCGGAGTAAGTAGTCAGCATGAAGGCCTAACAGTAAACTCCATGGGTAGCGAGGCCGCTTTAGCAGACAAATTTCAAATATCCTATACTGAACCATGGAAATACCTAATTACAACAAGTATTCCCCAACTAGATGAAGTTGAGTCACTTCTCAAAAACTATCCTCCCCCTCTACCTAGTATTGACCAGATTAAGAGTGTCCTAAATCACCTTAACCACTCGAAAGTAACGGGAGCCGATGGTGTTCAAATATGGTTACTTAAACGATTCTCTAGCATTCTAGCGCCGATTGTTCATGACATCATTACGGCTAGCATTACACAGTGTAAGCATCCAAGTCATTACAAACATGGCCTGGTCACACCTGTGCCTAAAGCATACCCACCAACTGACGTTAGTAACGATTTTAGACAAATCTCTGTTTTGCCACATATTGGGAAAATCCTAGAGAGAGTACAACTACAACTCAATCAAAATGACATCATACTACGTCCCAGTCAACATGGTTTTACTAGTGGCCGCTCTACTACATCGGCTCTGATATCCATCACACAGCCATGGTTTAATGCTACTGACAATACCTGCCATGACAAAGCAGGCATCCATGCCCTCTTTATCGACTTTAAAAAAGCCTTTGATCTAGTTGATCATGGGATCCTGTTGAATAAACTTAGATTGATGAATGTTATAATAAATGCTTCTGGTTGTGGGTCAAAAGCTTCTTATCTGGTAGAATTCAGCAGGTCAAGATAAATCAAACACTTTCATCGATCGAGGGTTGCTCAGCTGGAGTACCGCAAGGATCTGCTCTTTCGCCGACTCTATTTAATATCCACATTGACGACTTAGATACGAGTGTTCCTGAAGATCTTGAGGTGAGCACATATAAATATGCCGATGACTGCACACAAAGCGAATGCATCATGAAGGGAGAGAGTAGCAACATGCAAAAAGTCTTAGACTCCGTTCAGAACTGGTCAAACGCTAATAGAATGAAGTTGAACGCAAAGAAAACGAGAGATATATAGATTTGCTTTGGGAAATCTATCCCACAGCCTCCCAATCTTTATATCGGGGATGTTATGATCGAAAGAGTTAATTCATTCAAGTTACTTGGTGTTAGCTGTCAAATTAACATGAAATGGAATTCTCACATCAAAGAAATTACTCGTAAGGTAAACAGGAGACTGTGTCATCTAAGGCAGTGCAGGAAGGCTCACCTTCCTACTGAAGTAGGGTTGGCAATTTACTGCACCAAAATTCGTCCACTACTTGAATATGCCGCACCAGTTTGGGGTGGCCTACCTCACTATTTAGTGAACGACCTTGAGCGTATTCAAAGGAGAAGCGTACGTATTATTGGTTTACCGGTCAATACACTTCCACCGCTTAGTGAGAGAAGAGATAAGCTAACTCTTCGAGAAATGGAGGCAATTACTCAGGACGTAAATCATCCCTGTCACCACCTTGTCCCTATCGCACAGAAGCATGACTATTCCATTAGAACTAAAGAAAGAGGTTCTAATGTAGGTCGCATTATTTCCAGAACCGAAAGACATAAATCATCGTTTATGCCTCGGGCAGTTAAACTTTTTAATAATAAACTTTAAATTACTACTGTAATATACGGTTCTGTAATTTTAGGCTGAATGTAGGTTGCATTATTCTCTGAACTGAAGGACATAATCGTCGTTTGTGCCTTTGGCAACTGAACCTTTTTAAAAATACAAATTTTTATTGTAATATAGATGGTTTTATAATGTTTATGAATTTGTAAGTCCACTGTATTTTTTTACTTAAGGTGGATTATTATTATTAAAGCTTTACATCAACCAGCGACTTTGTTTCTCCTGTTTAAATCGAGGTCACGTAACGAAAGATTCTAAATCGAAAGACAGGTGTGGCACAAATGGATGTTCGTATTCCCACCACCGCCTACTTCATGGAGGATCCTTGCCAAAATCACCTGCTCCACGCATAAATTCAGCAACATCTGCCCTTCATAAAGACAGTATCATGCCTGTGGTGAGGGTTCGGTTTAAGTCTGCGAACGGGAAACTCGTGAAGGAAATGTTCTCGTTGACAGTGGCGCTGGCACCACCATGATCCGTAAAGAATTCGCAAGAGTTCTCGGTCTTCAAGGAAAAAAAGAAAAAATCGATATAGCAGTCGTCGGCGGTAAAATTATCACTCAGAGGGACAGTCGTAGAGTTAAGCTATGGATCTCCCCCCTAAACGGGAATGAGTCATACCCAGTCGAAGCACACGAAATGGACCATACAATTATTAATGTTCCAGTCCTCGACCGCACCTGGCTAAAGTCGTTTTACCACCTCAGTGATATTGAGTTCCCTCACCACACCGGTCCAGTTGAACTAATACTCGGGGTCCAGTACATTCATCTCCATGCTGAAAGTGAATTTCGACAAGGCCTGCCATTTCAACCTGTCGGTGAGAAGACAAAGCTCGGATGGCATGTCATTGGTCCAGACAACGCGAAAGAATCAATTGCCAGTTACTTAAATTTTGCAAAGAAAATCGATCTGGAAAGGTTTTACGACTTTGAAACCCTAGGAATTCGTGCACCGGACTGCATCTGCCCTCAAGAAATCATGTCTCGGGATGGAAAAAAGGCAGTTGAACTGTTTGAATCTTCCGGCGACAGGCTAGACGGGCGATTTGTCATTGTTCTTCCGTGGAAGAAAGATCCTACCCAGCTTCCTAACAACTACCTTCTAGCCAACGTCTAATAAAAAATCCAGTGCAAGCAAAGACCTACACTGATGCTATCGGAGAGTACGAGAAGAACGTATGCGCACGGAAATTGAAAGAAGAAGGAAAAGATTACAAAGGTCCTGTCTATTACCTACCACATCACGGAATATATCGTCCAGAAAAGAAAAATACGCCTTTGAGAATTGTGTTTGATCCAGCCTGCCTGTATAAAGGAGTTTCGCTTAACTCATTCTTGTATAAAGGTCCCTGTCTCATCGGAAATCTGTTGGGAGTCCTGCTTCGTTTTCGAGAAGAACCAGTCGCGTTCGCTGGTGACATTTCCAAGTTGTTTCTGCAGATCCTTCTACCTGAAAGAGATTGCCACGTCCATCGGTTTCTGTGGAGAAGCATTGACAGAACACAAGAGCCATCGATTTATTTCCTCCTTCACGTAACCTCGGTGACAAACCCTCCCCAGACATGGCAAGCTTTGTAATGCTGAAGATTGCAGAAGAAAACAAAGAGAGTACACCTGAAGCCTCAAAGATCCTAGAGCGAGATAAATACGTTGACGACATATTCCATTCGTGTCCTTCAACACAAGATGCCATTCAGAGGATGAGAGAAATCGGTGAGATCCTCAACGCAAGTGGCTTCAACATTAAAGAGTGGCATTGCTCGTCCAAACAATTGCAAGAAACAAATGCGGAGGGAAACAAGAAAGAAACAATGCCCATTGATACAAATCCCCATCCGACCAATCCAGTTCCTGGAAAGGAAGAAGAGAAGCATGAAGCAAACGATGTTAGTTTAGACAAAGAAAAGGGCGTCAAAACCCTCGGTGTTTCCTGGAATCCAAAATATATCTAATATCTACTTTCAAATTAAATTCAAACGGACAGACGTCTACACGAAGCGAACGATCCTTTCGAACATCTCGAGATTGTTTGACCCACTTGGTTTGGCCGCTGCTGTCACAATAAAGGCGAGAATAGCGCTTCAAGAAATTTGGAAGATGAAAAATATTGGTTGGGATGACCCATTGCCTACCAAGTTACAACTGGCGTGGGAGAAGCTGTTCGGCGAAATAGAAGATCTGACGACCGTACAGTTTCCGAGGTGCCTACAACACAAAGATTCGGTTGGTTTATCAGAGTTGCACGTATTCGCTGACGCAAGCATCCTTGCGTATGGAGCCGTAGCTTACGTTGTTTGGTCACGCACAAATGGGATAGAAGTCCATCTCATATCAGCCAAAGCGAGAGTTTCACCCCTCTGTCAGACCACCATACCCCGATTGGAACTTATGGCAGATTTGTTGGCATCAAGACTAGCGAAGACCGTGTGCGACGAGTTTAAAATCAAACCCAGCGAGGTGATATTGTGGTCAGACTCGATGATTGTCCTAGCTTGGCTCCGTTCAGAATCGACCTCACTTCAACCGTCTGTAGGCGTGAGAGCAGCAGAGATTCAAGCAACGTGGGAATCTGGCACTTGGGAATATGTCCCGACTGACCTAAACCCTGCAGACGACCTTAGCAGAGGTATTCCCGTCACGAAGGTTAACGAGCGTTGGATGAACGGTCCTTCGTTCCTCAAAGTTACGCACGACTCACTACTTCCTTCAGTGTTTGTGACCAAAGCGTCGTACCCTAAAGCCTTTTTGTGGCAGCAGAAGTTTCTATTGTCTTTGCTGGCAAGGTGCAGTGGCCACACTTGGACCAACTGAGCGATTTACGACGCCTGCTATTCTTATGCTCGAATCCTTCATCGAAGTCCTCGTCTCAGAATGACTCACTCTTGCGGAATCGCTTTGTCCCACTGCCTGCTTCAACTATTTTCGTTTAAAACAGGTTCAGACTGATACGGTAACACTTCACCTAACCAGTTCTCGTGAATTTCGCCCATATAGAAAGCCTAGATCCGGCGAAAATTCTTCACAAAAGTTGAAACTGATCAAAAACAGCGACAACGTAGCTGTTTTGCCTCTCCCCTGCCAAGGACGTCAGGGGCTTCAAATTACATGAAATAAAACTTTCAAAATGGCGGGCGATATCCAGTTTAGGACAAATTCATTCGTTCTTTACTACAAATTAGGATATTTTCATCGCAAATGAAATACATATCCTGACTAAGAGAGAACGCAACAAGGCAATAAAAAAGTCCATTGCCGATGTCATTTACATAAATAGGAGAGCAAAGTTATTTTCATGCGAGAATTGTATAATTTGAAATAATTTTATTTTAAGCTCACAAAGTTTACCGTAAAAAGCGGCTTAGGTTTATGAATATGTTGTTGAAATTTACATTAAATCGAAGCTTATTTTACGCATAATAACACACCTAACATATACATTTGCGAAATTGATAATTTTGTAATTAAAAGTACCTTTTGCGGGTTTTTTTATTAATCGTGTAACCATGACCACCACTTTAGATACTTCATGTTTGGAAAATATAGTCGTTTTGCCACCAAAATTAGGGGTCATAGCATTCATGTATTTCTAGTGCAATTTTGGGTTTAGGCACCCACTGGAACCTCACGTGAAGTTAGAACGTGATTAGTTAACTATCCGGCTAATTACATTTTCTCCGACTAATTAATAACTAATATAATTACAGTTAAGTGTTTAACTGCAGCAGTTAAAATCAACTATATATGGTAAACTTTAACTGTGTTTTGATACAATCGGTCCAAGAAATTATTCAAAAACAAAAATATCGGGGTGGGTAGTGTTACACACACCTCCGGTTGCAACGCCGTTGGATTCAGTGTGGTCATATTTGATATAGCGTTTGAAAAATGCAGGGAATTACCTTCTTTAGCAATATCTTTTCAGTGGCACGTCCCATGATTTCACCAACAAACCAACTGAAAATACAAAATGTGCATGTCAAGGGCAACGAGCGCACAGTACATTCTGAGAACGGGTATATGTATAAAGTAAAAATAGTAAACTAAGCTAGAAACTTACAAATTGGTTCCTAAGACACCTGTTTGCAATTGGCTCACATAATTTACTGGAATATCCCCTGTCCTCCTATAAAAGTAGGAGGTATATTTTTTAAAACTTCATATTAAAAGCTGGTTCGCTATTTGAGATAACTGTTCTATAAGCATTGCAACGTGATCGTTTGAAACCATTAAGCCAGGGTCCTCTGGCTCACAAAGGTCGCTACCAACCTGCACGAACAACTTTCATTATTGGTCGACTAAAACTACGAAATGCAATACAATTAAAGAATTTTTTTTTAAAGAAAGAGCGAGTCACAACATGTATTCTCGTGTAAACGCTGTGCAGATACTGAACTGTGTTTTAAACTGATAGTTTGAATTTGTCGCTACGAAAAGGTTGTTTAATTTAAAACACGCGTACGGAACAGTTGTTACAAATAATAATACAAATATATTTGTTTGTAAAATGTACGCAGAACAAGAAGTTAAACTTTACACTTGTACTTCGATGATGAGAGAATGCAATTTCAATTCTTACCCGTCTTTGTCCTTTGCAATGTACCAATTTTCACCTTTACATGCAATAATCGTAAGCTTGTCACCCTGGTAAACAAAGATAATGAAAAGCATGCAGTCACGGGATAACGTTAATGTATTATTCCAAAAAAATTACAACTTAACTAAAAATAGATCCACAATTTTCAAATTCGGTCAGCTGTTTTTATTACTTAAATTACTGAAAACGCGTTGTCAGTCTGAATATTAAAAATGTCACTACAATCACGTATCTAGATGCATTGTCCAGAAAAAGTATATACGTATAATGCTCTTGCCAAATTCAATTTTACCAAATTCAATTTTCCAAATTAACGAGGTTCGGTGGGCATCCGCGTGCAGCCATTGACAACGATGCTAACCAGCCTGTAGCCAGAAATTTTAATAGTAGCAATCAGAGTGTTTCATATGTGAAAATATTAGCCTTTTGTTTTATTTCTGGAAGCAATAATAGCCGCAAAAGACATGGAATGTGCCTCGTTTCCAATGTTACTAATAAACTTTTTGCCACGTTTAGCTTGACAATACTTTAAATTCTCACTATATTCAATAATTATCTCATACTATTATATCATTTGTATTTGTTGTAGTTTTCAGTGTATTTTTATTAATTTCATTTTAGTCGATTTACTCGATTCTAATTGGTTAAAAATCGTGCCAAGTAATCATTAATCGGCACGAATACGACCTCGCGTTCATTTCGTACGCTAATGTGAGTGCAGAAATTTAAGCCCAAAATCAAAATAAATAACGTAAAAATTTATATTTCCTGAGCTCTCATTTTGCAATGAGTTCTTGAGCAGAAGAGAATGATGGAATAAAAATTATTCAGTGTTTACAGGTATTAATTGAAAATTAATGTCAGAAAATTGCTCTCAAAATTAAACACAAAGGCACGGTCATATTGCGGCAGTACATGCTTGGATACGTTCACACAATGTTTCTCGTCACGATCGTTTGTTGCTCGTGTAAAATTGACAATATTGTGCGATTTTTCATGAATAGCTCTCAAACCGTGCAATTTCATGTGCCAATACATTTGCAATGTGATTTACTTTTTATGTTTACACTTTATTTTGACTAAATCAATCTGAGTGGTTTTTCTGGTGTCGCGCGGGGTAATCGCTTTTATATTCGCTAGTATACTAGAAAATACATGCATGCAGAAACCCTCGCCTTGCTGACAAAACCATTTTATTTTCCGAACGTGAAGTATTCAAAGTACGTAGTTTTCATGGTAACACGATAATTTTTCGTCCCTAAAAATATCACTTTTAATTACAAAATTATCAATTTCCCAAACATATATATGTTAGGTATGTTATTATACGTAATATATATATATATATATATATATATATATATATATATATATATATATATATATATATATATATATATATATATATATATATATATATATATATATATATATATATATATATATATATATATAATTGAAGCTCATAAGCTTCAATTTAAGCAAAAATTCAACCACAAACGCTTCGCAAAACGTTTTAAAGGGTTCTTTTAATATAGAACTGAACTGCCTTTATCGGTAAACTTTGAGTTCGAAATAAAATGATTCCAAATTCTCGCATGCAAATAACTTTGCTTATTATAATAAAAAGGGTAATCAATAAAGAAACACTGAAATAATCATAGGCAGCCCACTAAACGATTGAATTTAAATTAAACTACAGTGAAATTATAAATTTAACGAAAATAATATGCTGTCTTGTTTCATATTTATAATATACGCAATGATCAGCTTTTAAAGTAATTACAATATATTAAAAGCAAACAATGCATCAATATTTAAAACAAACTTACCTTCGTTAACGTCGGCGCCTTTGCTCCCTTTATTTAGCAATTCTTCCGCCTTTATTTTATCAAAAAGCTTTTGAAATTTACAAAATCTCGCAAAAATGAAATATATTTGCAAGAAATCATCAAATCAAGAAATGTTTGCTATTTCGCTGTCGTCATGCAGCGTTATAACGCAAATTTTAAATTGGACCAATCAGTGTTGGCTATTCGTGACAGTCCGCTATATTATGAGTTCAGTGAGGATGACCACCCATCGTTGGTCACCCACGCCAGCGATCATTGATAAACTTTAGACTTCGCTAATGCTTTCGTTTCTCCGGGTGTATAAATAGCCGGGCGGAATTAGTACTCTCGCACGGCAATAATTTTCCCGATCCCCTGCCACTAACTTTCCGAAGATGGGCCGTCCCTCGAAACATCGAAGTTCTGCTTGTATTTCTCCGTTAGTTGTGTCCCTAACCTTGTACGCACTGTGTACCTTTTTTATATTTTATTTCAACTCTCAGTCTTCGTTGGTTAATTCCCTCAAGCAGTGGTTAATTAAAATGTGTTATGTAGTCTCTTGTTCTGCAACAGTGTTATCCCACAATTATTTGTGGCATACTCAGGTCCAGTCTTTCTAATTGTTTCTTCAGTGTTCAATGGACCATTTGCATTATAGACTAAATTTTGATCTAGACAAAAATTTCATCACAGCTTGAAAGAGCATCACAAAATTAGTAATATTCCAAAGTTTCGTTGCGAAATGTTGTAAAATGCGGATAATATAGCCTTGCGAAATTTGCAATTTTCAGTCATTTTGTATTACAAACGGGAAATTGATGCCCCAACACCCGATTGGGCTGTCAATTTCCCGTGCGCAATACAAAATGACGGAAAAACGGCAAACTTCCCAAGGCTATATTATCCGCATTTTACAACATTTCGCAACGAAACTTTGGAATATTACTAATTTTGTGATGCGTTGAAAGTTTTGTCTAGACTTGTTTAGATCAAAATTTAGTCTATAATGCAAATGGTTCATTGTTTCTTGAAAACTCACTCATGCATGTTTTATCCAAATTGGACTTGAAAACATCCTATTACTTATACTTGAGTACACTATACAAAATTGATAATACAATATAATTATATACAGATACTTCAATGAAAACATAGCACACACCTCTTTAAAACCGAGATCGTCGCTGTCTTCTACTTCAAAGTTATACAAAGCCACAACGTTTGGTCCCTAGAAATATACAGAAGGTTAATATTTAATGCGCAAATTTCTTGTATATAGGAAAAAGAAACAAACAGAAATAATCTGACGTTCTTTTTCAACAGTGTGCAACTTGAACGCAAAAAAACTCCAAATTACAGGTAGTTAATAAAGATTATGATTATCATCAAGCCGACGACGCGCAGCGACGTTCCCTGGCGAGTGTACTAATTTCGTTTGGCTATTAACACCGGAGAAAAAGAAAGCATTAGCGAAGATCAGGTGAATATTTTGTTCTCACTGCTGAGTAAATTGCGGGCGCTGACGAAAAATTATTTTAAAATTATTAAAATGAGCAAAAATAAGTTTTTGGGCTTTTTTAAATTAGTTTACTCAAAGGTTATGAGAAATTGCTTAAAATAAGATACTTTAATATTCTCTCCTTCCTCATCTTCCCTCCGCCTTCTCGTCCTCTTCTTTCTCCCCTCTTCTCCCTTTCAAATACCCCATTCGAGTATCCTCAAACAGCTCCATAGGCCTCCCTTAACACTCTATTGCGGTACCCTCAACCACCCCATTGGGGTAATTTCCTAACATTTATGTAGTCATATTCATGTAGTTAAACTTGTATTAAATGAACACAAGGATCTCCATGTTATAACCTCCTTCCCCCGTCCTAGACTGGGGCCACCCTTCCCTGTTGTTTAAAAGAAATAAAACCATGACGACAACAAGAGTGTCGCCTATACTATATTTGTTGATGGTGAGACTTACACCACAAATGTCAGAGACACGAGAAGGAATATTCTACTATTCCATATCTATATTCCTGCTTGAGGGATCAAAGTTGTATTTTTACAGGTTAGGGCTAAAATACTAGGTACATTTTCATTCGAAAATTATATCGAGTGAGATGTTCAAATTGTTAATATTTATTTAATGCTCACATCACCTCTACCTTATTAATATATGCGAGAACTTGCCGTTTACGCTTTAGACGATTGCACAATATTATCATACTTGTAACCGAGCCACGCGCAGACCGCGTAGGGCGATCGCGAAGCCCGCGGAGAGGGTACTAATTCCGCTCGGCTCTTTACACACGGGGAAAAGAAAACATTAGCGAAGTCTAAAGTTCATCAATAATCGCGGTTGCATTCACAGCCGTGCATGGGTGATCATCTAGTTGATCTAAAAAATATTGCTGTCTGCAGGAGTGAAGGAAGCAAAGAAGTTTTTGGAAATTGTGTCACACATTTTTCAAATTTTAATTAAATGAACGATAAGAATGGGAAGGGTAAGTTTGTTTTCACTGTTTATTTGTATTACTTTCCCTTCATTCTTGCTTGAAGGCCCTGAACATGTACATGAACATCCTTTCCACTGTATGTGGAAGTTTTTTTGAATTAACTTGTTTGAATTTGATTTAAAAGTTCAAAAAAAGGAGAGTTCGCTATTCATGACAGTCCGCCATATTTTTTAGATCAGTGAGGATGACCACCCACGGTTGGTGACCCACGCCCGCGATATTTGATGAACTTTAGACTTCGCTAATGCTTTCGTTTCCCCGGGTGTAAATAGCCGGGGGGACTAGACGTTTCAATTCAAAAAACTTCGAAAGATGAAAAATTGGGCAATGTTTATATCTGTGGGTTGCCTTTGTTATGAGCAGAACTGATGCGCAGAACGGACTTTTCAGCATCTTTAAATAATTTATTTACTCAACTTTTACGAAGATCCATGATGACCACCTGCATTTGATCAAAATTCATAAGACTCGCACGACTAGCAAAACTCGCACGCACGACTCGCAGATTTGCATGACTCGCAGACTCGCAAAATAGCCGACCTTGATTTACACTTGCTCCAAGTCTCTATTTCATTGTCATATCGATCCACTATAGTGTACATTACATGACGTAGTACGGAGGGGCGGAGCGAGAAAGAGAGACTTGTCAACTTCGGAAAATCTCGGTTCAAAACTGAACCGAAAATGCAAGACTTGCTTTAATTGTTTTCTGTCAGTGTTTATATGTATTGATCTAGCACAGTGTAAATAACATGAGTTCCATTATCGTAAATAATACAGAAAGAAATTGAAGGAAAACAATTAAAGCAAGTCTTGCATTTTCGGTTCAGCTTTGAACCGAAATTTTCCGAAGTTGACAAGTCTCTCTTTCTCGCTTCGCCTTCCCGTGCTACGTCATGTAATGTACACTATAGTGGATCGATACTATATGACAATAAAAGAAAGACTTGGAGCAAGTTATTATTTATTATTATTATTATTATTATTTTATTAAAACTTTATTTACACACGGTATTCTCATCAGGATTTAACATGCAACAAACTAAATTAGATAAATTACAAAAGTAGAACCACGCTAAAGTAAATAGAAAATATAATACCTGCTTTTCATGAGGGCCTGC